GTATTTGGGCTAGCTCTGTTCTGAGGGCTTGCCTACAAAATGGCTGCCACTTTCCTGCTGGTTCTTAAAGTAAACTTGTCCTCACAAGTTTTTCTTCCCACTTTTACTTCAGAAAAGTTCGTGTTTTGAATGTGTGAAATAACATGTGTGCCTTCTCCTTGTTCCTGAACAGTTTGGGGCTTTACCTTTCTCTTAGAATCATTAAACTTTTTTTCCTCAGCTTTGCGCTGTCTTTCCCATCTCTTTTTAATGTCTAGCTCCAACTGCCTATACTCAGACCTCTGTTCCTCTTTCCACTTTTCCAACCGCTTTGTCCCCTCAGAGTCATCCCTAAACTCAGGACAAGCCAGCCAATCTGCCACAGCTTTTGCTTTGGGCAACTCTCCACAGAAAATGGTCACCACAGAGCCAGTCCCTATCTCAGCCACCCCAATCTGAAGCTTCAGCGCCCTCCTACTAGACTTTCTCCCCCATGAGATGAGTCCTAGGAAGTTACCCACGCTTCCACTCAGATTCCCTAACTAAGATTCTGCTCTGGGCACCTTTTCCAGACCAAGGCTGTACTGGATCTTCGAATCCTGCCGCTGGACACCAATTTTATTGTAATGTGGTTTAGCCACTCTGCGGTCACCTCCTACTCAGGCCTCTCAGAATGCCCAACACGTCACTAAACACTCTTGCTGCCACCAACCTATCCTTTAAATCACAAGGACTAGGGTTTCTCTTAAACAAAAATGGTTTATTGATTACAAGAAATAAAATAAGTAAATTACAGGAGGTTAATCTCGATGGTAAATCACTGTTTCTTATTTAATCATAACATAGACTATCCCTCACTGACACTCAGGCACGCAGGCCTCTTTCTCTCTCACACCAGATCTCTCCAGATCTCTCTCACTCTATCAGTCTCTCAAAACTGATCTCTCAAACACCATACACACCCCTTTATATCCCAGCTCCTCCCCCTTTAGCACCACCTTCCGTCCCCTCATTGGCTGCTGTTCCACTGCCCAGCTGTGACGGACAGGGCTGAACGTTACAGAGAGCCTCCCCAGGAGGATACCGTGGTCAACGGAATTGAAGGCGGCTGAGATAGTGAGAAGGATCAACAGAGACATTTTGCCCCTGTCTGCCTCCCTCAGCAGGTCACAGTGCCACCAGTGCCACCTCCTTACTGTGGCGCAGCCTAAAGCCCAACTGAAATGGATCCAGGGTGTTGGTTTCATCCAGAAGGGCCTGGAGCTGGTCAGCCACCACCCTCTCCACCACTTTGCTGAGAAAAGAAACATTGGCAACGGGTCTATAACTGCCAATGGCATCCGCCGCCAAACTTAGTTTTTTTTCTAAAGGGCCTAATGAGTGTCTCCGTGAGACCCATTAATTATTGCAGTGGCCATTTGGTTGTTATAGGCCTGGCTGCTTTGATTAGCCAGGCTGGGCAAGGGTCAAGGAAGGAGGTGGTGGCATGACAACAGCCAAGCACTTTGTCCACCATATCTGGCATTACAGGGTTAAAGAGATTGAGTCTCATCATTCAAGATGGAGTGCTGGACATCTCTGCTCAATCTACTGTGTTCAAGAAAGGAGAGAGCTCCCGGGGAATGGCCTCCACTTTAGATTTTAAAAATGCTGCAAATTGGTCAGGTGAAATATTAGTAGGAGGCCTATCACTTAGACAAATTCTGGATAGATCATGGACTATACAGAAAAGTTCCACCTGCTGATTTGAAGCTTTGCTTATCTGGACAGCGAAGTAAGCTTGACTGGCAGCCCTCACCCTTGTAAGGTAAAGGTTAATTGCGATCCTGACAGCTTTATGATTACAATCCATCAGGTTACGTCTCCACTTGCACTCTAGCCTTCTCTTACTTTGGTTCATAGCTCATAGTTGCTGGTTAAACCAGGGTGCTGAACAAGCTCTGCAATGGATAGGGCGTTTAGGAGTGATCATGTGAACAGCCCTGGTAGTGGCGGCAAGCCAGCCATCAACCAGAGCCTCAACAGGAGCGCCAGTCAGCTAAGTCGGAATCCCTCTCATGGAGTCCTGGAATACTATAGGATCCAGTAGCCTTTGAGGGTGGACCATTAAAATAGGTCCTTGCACCCTGTAGAGAGGGAGAGCCATTGAGAAGTTGCATTTAATTAGGCGGTGATCTGACCATGACAAGGGGACTGACACAAGGTCGGTCACCATCAGACCACACTCACTCAGGGGAGAACATCAGGTCTAACGTGAGACCGCATACGTGGGTGGGGCTGTTAACATGTATGGACATGTCCAAGGAAACCCTGGTTTCCAAGAACTCAAAAGCCGGACCAGAAACCTTCGCCTCCACATGGATGTTGAAATCATCCAAGATCAAAAGCCTCAGAGATTCCAACAGTGCTACAGAGGCAAAGTCCGCCAGCTCCAGTAAGGAAATGTCTGGGAGTGCGGTAACCCAGCAAGATCCTAATACCATCCCTGGCCCCAATCAACATGTGTAGGGCCGCAAGACCTGATGTCATCACCGTGGAGCACCTAACAGCCTCTAGAGTGATAAAACAGAACTTTGTGAGACCCCACTGGTCATGAGGGCTGTGCAGAGCAATTACCCAGAAAGTGTCCGGTGTGTATAATCACCTTCCCAGTGTGTTCAGGGTTCATTTATTAGCTGATGATGTCACCAGCATTCATTAGTATGAAGTGTTTTGCAGAATGGCCTCACATTGTGAAACACGAGGTGGGCTCTGTTAACTGACCAGTTGTGGTGGTCAATGTGGTGTCTGGTATATGGGGGTGGGGAGGCTAGAGAGGCCCCAGATGGGTGACCATGAAGTAGCATTCTTGCAAAGTATCTTGGAAGTATAACCAGCAAAAATATAGCAGGGCATGTTGTATGTTTGAGCATAATTGTGGCAGCCCTTCAGGGCTACATTGTATACTTAACATGCTCATGGTGGTGAGGCCCCAGTAGCCTGGAGAAAGGAGGGGCCCAGGAAGCATTGTCTTCTCTGCAACAAGCTCCAGCAAGTAAAACTCTGGGAACTGGAGTTTCAAGTTTGGGGTTGGACACCGCTCCCATTTCAGTGACGGCATTGTTCCCATTTTTCAGCTAATACTCTGATAGTGTAGCAGTAAAATATTTTCTGAATGAATTCCCTACAGGTTTTTGCATTCCCTTTATTGCATACTGGATGCTGGCAGCCCTAAATCTGCTATGGACATGGCATATGTGATGGCCAAAATATCAAAGGAATGTGTGGCCAGGTGGGTGCATAGGCCACTCCAGACTGCCCCCTATTTAATCTGACAATATCCCTCACCAAGGATTGTGCCAAAAAATTGAGGATACGAATTAATCCACCACCTGCCATGTCCAAAAGCTCATCAATCAATAACACCTTTCTTCCTGAGCTGATGTTTGAGAACTGAGAAACTAAAGAATTTTTAAAATGTAATTATGATGGTAACAAATTACTTATAAAGTTTAGAAATAAAATGGTAACTATTTTAAAGTAATGGTTGTTGTAATGGTTTTTCGGGCTCTTTGGCCGTGTTCTGAAGGTTGTTCTTCCCAATATTTCACCAGTCTCTGTGGCCGGCATCTTCAGAGGATTGGAGTAGGAACTCTGTCCATGCTCTGTTGCTGTCTGTTGGATAGTTGTATATATATATATATATTCAACTATCAAAGAGCCCGAAAAACCCACAACAACTATCAGATCCCGGCCGTGAAAGCCTTCGAGAATACATATTTTAAAGTAACTTTCCATCTTCCAGGAAACCCACAAATAAGAATTAGAGCAAGTGCATTAAAATCATCTGGAGTGGTTGTGCTTATGATCTTTCCTCCAAGAAAATAATCTTAGATATAAGTATATGTTTGTGGGTATATACAGCACAAGGTTACATTCCCCCTGAAAACACAGGTTCTCAGTTTGGGTGTGATCCTGGATTTGTCCATGAGCCTGGATAATCAGGTTTTGGCAGTGGCCAGGAGTAAATTTGCCCAATTAAAATGAGTGTTGTCAGCTGTATACTTTCCTAGAGATATCTAACCTGGCCACAGTAATACATGCCTTGTTTACATTCCATTTTGATTACATGGTGCTGCGTTTGAAAAATGTTTGGAGACTTCTGTGGATCCAAAATGTTTCAGGCAGATTATTATAGGGAATCACATACGGTAATTCCCCTGTTACAACAGCATCACTGGTAGGTAGTCTGTTTCTGGGCACAATTCAAAGTACGGATTTTGACTTCAGTCCAAGTTGCTTAAAAGACCACATTTCTATTTATGACTCTGCCCATGTTTTAAAATAATCAAGGGAAGCCTTTCTCTCTGTCCTGCCCCCTTTGTATGTGAATTTGGTGAGGACACGAGAGAGGACCTTCTCTATTGCTGCTCCCAAGCTATGGAACACCTCCCGCTGGTGGTCTGGCTGGCCTCCTCTTTGCTATCCTGCAGGCACACAAAGATTTTACTCTTCAGGCAGGCTGTTTCTCAGTAATTGGCTGCCTAAGAAGTGGGATGCTGTTTTGTTTTGTTATGTTTTTATTTGTTTGCCTCCCCTTCCAATTTTTATGTTGTTTGTTTTTAACATTGTAAGCCACCTCGGGTGCTCCTGAGGAGAAAGGCATAGTATAAATATTTTAAACAAGCAAGCAAGCATTAAAGAGAACAAGTGCTCCATTTGGAAGAGCCCACCGTCACTCTTAAATCCATCCTTTTTTCCTATACGAACCTCCAATTTCAAACTGAATGGTATAATTTAAAGTGAGGAAACAAATGGCTTCATGCCAGATCTTTATGGCTTTTGTTCATTAGCTGGATTGGGACAGAAATGCATAACACTGATCAGGTTATTTCTGTAACTGCTATGCTTGGGCATCATGTCCCTTCCATTTCAGAGACACCAGTATGAGGACTCTTCTTGCAGCAGCCAAATTTCCCTGGTCCATAAAGCCCAGGAATGGCTTGAGAAAAAAAGAAAGACCCTCTTATGTCTTTAGTCTCTGCAAAATTTTATTCTCACTGCTGAATTACCGGGGTTGGAGTAAATACTATCAAAGCTGTTCAACAAAAGTGACAAGCACATAAGAAGCAAGAACAAAAAAACAAGAAAACAAAAACATATCACACATCACTCCAAAGGAATTGTGGCAACTTATAGCTCTTTCCACCTGAGAGCAGGACTTGTCATTAGAAGAACCCAATTATATGGCTTTCAAATGTCTACAGGAAAAGAGGGAGGAAAAATCCTCTTCGTCTTGGATAATCAGAATTTGCTTACTTCCAGCTGATGCCTGAAGCCAACTCTGACAGAAATATTAGGGACCTGTGGCTCCATTGACCTTGGGAGGCTTACAGCTGGACTTCTGCAAGCAGGAACGATAACACTCCTGCTTGCAGAAGTCCATTGGGGAGCAGAGCCCAAAGGATCCCGAAATGCCTCAGATCTGCCAACAGAGTGGGCTCCATGTTGTTTCCCTGTGGCCCACATACACTTATATTTTCTGTTTCTGTCTGAGGGAGTTGTCCAGGACAGACAGCTGACGCAGAAAACCTCGGTTGGGGATGATACCCCTGTGGTCTTTGACGGTCTTTATAGCCTCCACCAGGGTCAAATGATGGTAAATCATGAGATAGGCGAGGACTAGGGTGGCTGATCTACTCACCCCTACAGCACAGTGAACCAGGATCCTTCCTATGGAGAGAAAGGAAAGTTAAGAAAATGTTTGTATCCAAGATCAAGAGAGGACTTTAAGGTGGGAATATCAGTCCCCTCTTGTTCTCTTGTACTACCCACATTATTTTTATCAACAAAGACAAACAAGGAATGACCTGGTCTCTCAATAGGGTTCTTACACTGAACGATCTTTTGTGCCAAAATTGCCAATTTTGTACAAACTGTCCAAAATAAGGGCTACTGTACATTTGTTTAAGAATTTGAAGCACTGCATGGATTGTTTGCATCCTTCTTAACAATTTGCCAGTGTTTGTTGTGAGTATGCAGGCTTAGCTTATTAAAGGGAAAGAACACTAGAGATACGTTGTGCAGATCAGAGACAAGAGCTGGCAGAAAAAGCTCTTTGTCTTGCTCTTGGTTGGAAGCAAGAAATCTCAAGGGGCTTTTCAATTCTTTGTTGAGCTATCCCTTCATATTTACACAACCAAAATCAGCAAGAACAAGAAATATAGCAGGTATTTTTTGTGTATGTTCTTTTGGGGCTGAAAGTTCAGACTGTGGTATGCAAGATTTATTCCAGAATGTCACTCCAGATTTTCCCACTAAGAGCTCCACCACCCGCACACTACACAACACTTCCTTGTTTCAGAAGATGTAGACATGTTAGTCTGTGCAAGCATATTAGGCAGAATCCAAACCAAAAAAAGACAAAAAAGAGAGAGAGAGACAAAAACATGTAGCACCTTAAGGAGTATTATGATTTAATGTGAGATTTCATGAACAAATCCAATTCATCAGATATGCATATATTTCAGTATCTAAGCAAAACACACACATTCAGAAAAATGTCTTTCTTGGTCTTACAATGTTTTCTCCCAGTAACAAGACCTGCTTTGTTTTGCGTGACTTCAGAATGAGACATGCAAAGGAAACCACAGTGGTGCCTCGCTTAACGGGAGCCCCGTTTAACGATGAATCTGCATAGCGACTTTTTTGCGATTGTTTTTGCGATCGCATAACAATGTTTTAAATGGTAAAAAATCACTTTGCAATGATCGGTAAGCTGTTTCGCTTACCGATTTTCACATAGCAATGTTTTTAGAACAGCTGATTGGCAGTTCCAAAATGGCCGCCGGGTAAAAAAAAATGGCCACCAGCTGTGTTTTTGCCCGGATTCCTCGCTTACCAGGCAGCGAAAATGGCAGCCGTATGGAGGATTTTCACATAAAGGTGAGTTTTTTGCCCATAGGAACGCATTAAACGGTTTTTAATGCATTCCTATGGGGTTTTTTTTTCACATAGCGACGAATCCGTATAGCGACGATTTTTGCTGCACGGATTATTGTCGCTATGCGGGGCACCACTGCATTATCTAAAGTGAATCCAGATGATGCTTCTCCTCTTAAGGTACTTTCGCAGTGACACACTTTTTGCCAACTGAAGGAGTACTTCTTCAAGAAATGGATTTCTCTGAAGTTCTGCTTTATCTCTAAATACAGGTGGGTTTTTTGCTGTCATATTGCCAAAATTCAGCAGCAATGGCAAGAGTTCCAGAGGTCCCCCAAACTAATGGAGAGGCAGGTTGGTAGATGGCTACTTGTTGCTCATCTCTGTGTTAGAGACATTCTGTTGTGTAAGGAGGTCGTCTTCCAAACAACTGCTTGCTTTGAAAAGACAAACAAACAATATTCTGGCAACAGTTATAGCCACCGTTCTGCTCTCTGTCATGGACTCACCTTCAGTTCTGCTCAATGCCTTATGGATGAAGTCAGCTGCAGGCTGAAAATAGGGGCTCATGTCAAAGGTGGGTGAATCATGTGCCTCAATACCCATATAGCAGATGCCAGATCCTTCATAGTAATCAGCACCTCCTCGCCACTTGCTGTGTGAAGCATTGAGTACATGAGTGATCTGCAGGCGTGCCAGCTCACGGCGGTTGGCTGCTATATCTCTGTAAGAGAGAAAGAGGACAAAGTGGTGGTGCTAGGCTTTCATTAATAAACATGGTCTCATCCTAGAGCCTCAATTTCTACCACAGCTTGAACAAGTTACTTTTTGGGATTATAAATCTCAGGCTACAGTCTTAGTACTGGTATCTAAAGGTTTGGACTTCTACATGGTTCTGGGCAGACCTGACTTGAGCATAGCTGACAAGCCAATATGGCCACTCATGATATTGGCAGGATGCTGGGAATTGTAGTCCAAAAATTAACCATTTCAAGTCCTGATATCTGTCTTCTCCATATCAACCTGGTATCTATATTCTCCATATTTTATACGTGCCTATTTCAAGAGCATTTGGTAGATATAATTAATGTTTTACCTCCTGGTAGAATATTGTACTGCTGTCATTATTAACTGGATTGTAAGTAGCCCTTTTTATGTCAGCTGGCAGATGAACCAAGAGACAACTATTCAAAAGCCACCTTCTGATCAACATGATTCATTATGGCTAAACAGTATGGTTGCCACATATTTTGAGTTTTATGAGCAAAATGCATTCTACAAGCCAAATCAAATATAGGCATGCTCCAAAGATATAATCCAAATTTGGTGCTGATCTCAGGTCCAGTTTCATAGTTATATGTATATGTACATATATACATATACATATAACTACGAAACTGGACCTGAGATCAGCACCAAATTTGCCCTATTCCAAATTTGGGGACATTTGGGCAAAGAGTTTTCCAGTTGTAATTTAAAAAAAAAACAAAAAACACTGTTTTACACCACGCACAAGAAAATGACTTTTAGCTACACCTAGTTGAAAAGAGATGAAAAAATGTAGATAAGACAACATTTGTATACGGGGGGGGGGGAGGGAGAGACTCAATTTTAATCTCTCTTTTTTTTTCATCCACAGGAATTGGGCCATTCATGCCTCTAATTTAAAATTTTTTGTTAGTCCTTCTAGAGCCAGAAATCTTCTGAAATAGCTCCTTTTTAAAAACTTTCAAGAATTCTAAAGGAAATATTCGCATAGCAAATTCTGATCAATCAGAATGTGTCTGGAGTCAGCCCACAGGGCAGATATCTGTCACTTTAAAGCCCAGTAATGGCCTTCAGGTTTTTTTTTAAATTAACTCCTTCCTGACAACACATCTTCAGCTCCTGCCTGTGAAAATGTTTTAAAAACTATTTTAAAAAATAGATAATAATATACAGCAGATCACTCATTTAAGCTGTGAAATTAGTTTTTCCTTCTGTGACTTTGAATCATCTCAAAGCAGATTTTACCCAGTTTACCCATGAGTAAGTTTTCCTGGTTTACTCATAAGTTTACAGATCCATATGATTTTTAGATGTTGTCCTCTCTAAAAGTCAGATCATAGATCCTATCTGCATTCACAGATTACACAACAAAAATAATGGGTTCTTCAGCACATGGCTTTGCAGTGGTGCAAAAACATGGATATGGTGCATGGATCCTCATGAATCTACATGATTTTGATGTAGAATCATCCCCAAACCACTATCTAATCATAGGTCCCATCTCTGTCCACACACTAAAATGCAGAAATTGTTGTTCCCCAAGTGCGTGGTTTTGCAGTGGTGCCAAACATCAATATAAGACAGAGATATTCATCGATCTACATGATTTTTTTAATATAGGATCAGCTTCAAACTACTGTCCAGTCACAGACCCCATTTGTGCCCATAGTTTACAACACAGAAATCATGGATCCCTGGGCACATGGCTTTGCAGTGGTGCAGTACCACTGATCAAAGGCATGAGCAATAGCCATAGCCATAGCTATAGCAATAACACCCTTAGAATTACAGAGCTGGAAGGGACCCTATGGATCATCAAGTCCAGTCCCTGACAAGGAGGCATACTGGGAAACTGAACTCCCAACCTCTGGCTTCACACTAAGCCCACTCAGCTACCCAGCAGTTCTTGGAGCCACATTGATCTGCAAAGGATCATTCTCAAACCACTGTCCAATCAAAGGGCCCATCTGTGCCCACAAACTACACCACAGAAATCATGGGTCACCTAGCACATGGTTTTGCAGTGGTGCAAAACATGGATCAGAGGCATGGATCCTTATGATTCCACATGATATTTAACTAGAATGATCCTCAAACCATTGTCCAGTTATAGGCCCCCTTTGTGCTCATAGATTAAAATATAGAAATCATGACTCCAGGCACATTCTGATTGGTCAGAATGCTATGCGATGCAAATAGTTCAGTCATTTAGAATGTTCAAATTTCTATTTTATGTGCATGGTAGGATACACTCAGGTTATTCATTTTTGCTTGAGTGAGAGTTCAGGCTTGACTTGATGGGACACCCACTTTTCTGCTTTTCTGGCCATCTTTAGTATCTCTACCAACACCACATTTCAAATGACTTGATTTCTGTCACTGTCTTTCTTCACTATCTTCCTTTCACCCAGTATGCATTATTTTGACCTTGATTTCCAGTGACATTCTTTGCTAACTCCTTTTAAAGAAAATTCAAAAAGGAAATATATTTTGTACATGTTTTTGAAAACATAGTCAAAATATATCTCTAGAGGTTTTGGTCCAATACAGGTTTTCTTCCTCAGCTTGCCTAACTCAAAGAAAGGGAGGAGATGATGTATCACTGTGATTGATGGGTTTTGTTTGCTAGTCTTTTGTCTGCAGTGATCACCAGTCTAACATAATGACTGCTGGTGTCGTCCAGTACTTCTGTCTTTTGAAATAGGATTTCATGTCCAGTTTGCAATGGAAAGGAGGATTTTATTTCATGGGACACAGACTGAGTTGTCTTCCCCGCAAAGAAGCATGTTTAAGATTTGTGATTTACTGAGAAGGGGCATATGCTTATTTTTATTTTATTTTTTTGGTTCCTGTACATATTCATGGAACAGGCAGCTGCCTTCTGGGTTGTGGTTTAGCTGTCATGCCATATGGCCATGCCACCACGTTGGCAAACTCTCCAAGTTGAATGAAAATAATGGCAATGATGCGTGTGTGCGAACTTCCAACAGCCAGCAGATTTCTTATAGAACCCCTTCTGCATGATTATATGTCTGTGCTTTCTATTTGCTGCATCATCTTGGTCCATTTGATTTCTTTAATGGTATGTTTATTGTCTTTTGTTTACTGCCATCATGCTGTCATGGGGTGACACCAAGAAACCAAGGCAGTATGGTTTCTTGTTGCCATATCAGCATGCTTCAGAGCTGTAATGGAGCAATTGATCAGTGCACTTTCTTTTTAAGAGTTTAACACTTACGAGGATTCTATTGAAAATATATGGAAAACTCATGTAGCAATGCATTCTAGGAATGCATGGAGATTTCCACCCTCTGGTGTATATGTCTATATTCCTACTACCATCTTCTACCTTTCCTCTCACCCGTCTGTCTCCTGCAATTCACTATGGAACACTGTGTCAGGATAGGGCAGGGCAGAATAGACTGAGCAGTGAAGAAAGAAGCAACTAAGGCTGTGCCTGCATGGGAAACAGGGAAAATGGAATACTGTACTGTGGATAGGTGGCAGAAGTAATTTGCTGAGAGATACAGAATGATCAGCAAAGTAGGCTTGGATGGAGCTACTGAAATTAACTAAATTAATTCCTTGGGAGGAAAGCGATGACAAACCTAGACAGCATCTTAAAAAGCAGAGACATCATTTTGCCAACAAAGGTCTGCATAGTCAAAGCTATGGTTTTTCCAGTAGTGATGCATAGAAGTGACAGCTGGACCATGAAGAAGTCTGACCACCGAAGAATTGATGCGTTTGAATTGTGGTGCTGGAGGAGACTCTTGAGAGTCCCCTGGACTGCAAGGAGGTCAGAAGAAAGGAGGTTCTGAAGGAAATCAACCCTGAGTGCTCACTGGAAGGGCAGATCCAAAAGCTGAGGCTTCAAGACTTTGGCCATCTCATGAGAAGAGAAATCTTCCTGGAAAAGACCCTGATGTTGGGAAAGAGTGAAGGCAAGAGGAGAAGGAGACAACAGAGAATGAGATGGTTGGACAGTGTCATTGAAACTACCAATGTGAATTTGACCAAACTCTGGGAGGCAGTGGAAGACAGGAGGGCCTGGTGTGCTCTGGTTCATGGGGTCATGAAGAGTCGGACACAACTTAATGACTAAACAACAAAAATTCTGATTGACCAAGTGAATTCAGACAGAAAGCAGTGCTACAAAATTCCATCTAGTTTCTCTTGAAGACATTTTCATTCAGGGAAGCTTTTAGTACCTGACTGAGTGTTGAAGAAGTGAATCTTCATAGGTTGGTACTGGACTTTTATGGATATGCTTTTAACCAGTTTTTAATTCAGGTGTGTTTTACTGCTATAACTCATTGGTTCATGTCCTAGCTTTGAAAAAAGGCAGGCTATAAATCAAATGAATAAATAAACACATTAAGGGCAAAACACAGCCACATTATAGTGGAAAAACAGCTAGAATATATCTGCACTATGGTTATAGTTTGGTAATTCCTTTTAAATGCGTGGCTGCATCCTGGGGAATCCTGGTATTTGCAGATTGGTGAGGTACATGGAATTCCTGGCCAGAAAGCTCTAGCAAACATCCCTGAAGACTGCAGAGGAAAGTAAGTACCTCAACAAACTACAGATCCCAAGATTCCATAACATGAAGATCATATCAAGCTGCTAGAATTGTATTGTTTATACACATTTCAGATGGCAGAGATTCCCCACCCCTCAGGCAGAGTCTCCTTCTTTAGGCATAATCTTTCCCATCTTGGATATCGTAATACAGTACTATTGTTCCTTCCCATCACCTTCCCCACCCCACATTACAAGGACCTCACTCCACATTTGAGCCTGTACATACTGGTCTCCCAGGTAGAGTCCTGGCCACACCTCGTCAGCATGGTTACAGGCGGTCTTTCCTGTGTACAGTAACCTCTCCAGCTCAAAGACACTGAGGATGGGGTGGCTGACTGTGTCATCATGCATCCTTCGGACAGGAGCCCTAGATCCACTCCGGGACAACCGGGACATGAAGGCCATTGGTGCCACCAAACCCCCCCTTGCATCCCGGGCCTCTTGGGGGGGCTGGGCTGGGGCCGGGATGGAGCTTTTGCTGTGACTACCACCCACGGTCAGTGTCTAAGCTGAAAGAAAAGAAGAAACGTATCAGCCCTTGTGGCAACTCCTGCTGTCCTCTGTTATGTATCTTCATTATGATGATCCTGTTATGAATATAAAAGAGGAAATCAAGACTGATTCAATCACACACCAAAAGATTTTCTGAATTAATTTAAAAATATACACAAAAAGTAGTGAGGCTAGTCTAAGGGGGCACTACTTTTATGAAGGGCAACCCAAAGGCCTCATGGTGTTACCACATAATCCTGTGTGGCACTGACACTTTTCCTGCAGGCAGGACATTCCCGAGTCACTCCTCTTGGCTCTGCCAGATCATTCCCTCTATTCCCTCCCCTCAGGTAGCCACAAGCTGGTGTCTCATCAGCCGGGCTACTCCTTCACTCTCCTTTTGCATCTCACAGAGACATTTTCCCCTTCACTTCAGTCTGCTTTCCCATTCGAGTGGAGGAGGAAACTTGTCCAAAGTGGAGGGAGATAGATTGCCTTTTCACTTGCCTGCCTGCCAGATTTGAATGACTTGGGCGCTGCTTGGCTTTCTGTACCCTGGGAAAAAGGGATTTATTCTCTGGAACTGAGGGTGGTATCACATAAGGCCAATGTTCCCTAGTTATACGAGTTAGATGGTTGTAGAAATTTCTGCTCACACAATGCACAGCCATTATCATGTAATTTACCTGGCCAGAGGTGTAACTCTGGTTTATTTCCCACTTGCCAGGAGGCTTCTGTTAATTTGTTCTGGTGTCCTATTGATATATTTTTTTAGCAGTATGACATGTGTGAATGACCCTATCAATTCTTTTCTGAAGCCAAATCACTGGGGAAGGCACCCACCACTACTGATGCACAGCTGCCCTGCTATTTTACTTTAAAAATTTTTTTTGTAGCCAGTATGTCGATACACAGGTAAACATATGTCAACAACCAGGGCATTGGTAGATGTCGCATCACACCACACACCACCTACTGTCTGGTCCCGGGTCCATTGAGTGCATTGCAGTTATTTGTTGTTGTTGTTGTTGTTGTTGACCCACCACTACTGATGCACAGCTGCCCTGCTATTTTACTTTAAAAATTTTTTTTGTAGCCAGTATGTCGATACACAGGTAAACATATGTCAACAACCAGGGCATTGGTAGATGTCGCATCACACCACACACCACCTACTGTCTGGTCCCGGGTCCATTGAGTGCATTGCAGTTATTTGTTGTTGTTGTTGTTGTTGTTGTTGTTGTTGTTGTTGTTGC